TCAAATTGGTTTCTTTATTTGAAAAAATTGGTGTCTGTCAAAAGGCATGCGAATGTTGTAATCGATGTGCGCACATGTGTTGTAGACGTATGCTTCAATTGTTATGAACTTTTCTTTTTTTACTACGCAGGTTTCATTTTTTTCGTTGCTTGATACGATCATCATGTCGAGTGACTCCAGTTCCCAGCATCACGATGTTAGTAGATGGTGGGAAGTTGGTGCTTGTCCGTCGTGTGCGCCTATTCACACGGGCATAGTGCAATTTCGTCCACCGACTTACACAAAACATGTTGTGAATTGGGAGCCCGACTTGCTGCAACCAGGAGTGAGGGACGGAGAATTTTGTTTTGTTATGAGGAGTTGTGATGAGGGTTGGGTGTCGCTTGGGACAATTCCAGAAACCGTGTATATCATGTTTACGTATTGCATTGTTCTTGACTGCGTCATTCGAATGAATCCCCATATGACTTTCAGGTTAGGAATGATGACTTTTGCTGGGCATCTTCACGAGTCCTTGCTTGCGAAGGGGTTGTTGAAGTTAAATGATTTTTTTTACGATAATGTGGAATGCGGTTTGAATTGGTGCGCATCAAATGTGGACGTAGAAATAGAACCTGAGGAGGATGAGAGAAGAGATCCAAGATACGGATGGGTTCCTTTTCAATTGCCTATTGTTTGCTCGAAGATCGTTCTGAACGTGTTAGATCTTGCGGGAAACTATTGGGAGGCAACGTATAGCAAGGGAGAATTGTTGTCTCACAAATTGTTGAGGTTGATGGACAATTGGCCTATTTTTCGCAATCCGTATGAGTTGTATGCGTCTTTTGCGTGTGATGGGTCTTATTTATTTGCCACTCACGATTGCAGTGTGGTTGATGTATGCGGATCCTAGGAGCGATATTCGAATTTGTTGGAGTGTGCGTGGGATCCTCTCAGTCGTTCACAGGGAGCATCATGTTGTTGCGATGTGTCCAAAACAATTATACAGAGTGACAGGTTCTTGGAAGTGAACAACAATTGGGGATACTTTGTGAATTGGGTGGAAGGAAAGTTGCATCCAGCGCAATATAATGGGAAATGGACGATGGCAGCACGCGGGGATAATGATTTTTGGGTTTCGTTGGGCTGTGTCCCGGAAGGATTGATAAGTCATCTCCATTATCTGGTCATCCTTTTGAAAGTATGCTTCACAAATGCCGGGGTGGGCGATACAACAGTAATAGAGGAGCATGCTAGGTGTTGCTTTGAGAAGATTGCAGGTAGTGAACGACAAATGTTCACTGTTGCGTATGACAAGATCTTTGATAATGATTTCTGGGTGCTAAAATCGACAGTCGTGATACACTCTGAGGGACAATCTTTTTATGAACATCTTCCTGACCATATAAGATCTTCAGCGCTTTTAGGGTGGGTACCTCTACAGTGTCTAATGAAATTTTCCGAGTCGGACCAATTGGAAATGATTTTCTTTGATTCACGTGGTGTCCCTTTCACTTTGACTTACACCAATGGACTGCTAACATTCATCCAACCACACGGAATGACACACTTAACAGACATGACATCCCTCATGACATCTTTGGGGATAGATGCACAAGCGAAGCAATTCATTGCTCAAGAGGTAAAACAGTCTTTCGAAACGCGGGGTAAGAAAAGGTTAGCTTCCAAACCGAAGGCCATCGATTCTCAAAAGTCTGGGAAGGCTATGTCGATGCCTGGTGCAAAGAAAGCAAGTGTGAAACCAAAGAAGAGGATGCCTCCAGGCAAAGCAACGCTGCAAGAAATTCAAAGATTGCATAAAATCGAGAAGCTTCAGATTCCGAAGGCAGCGTTTTATCGTTTTGTACACGAGCTTACACAGAAGAGAGATGAGACTGCTCGCATGCAGCTTATTGCACTCCAAGCTCTTCACGAGTTTTCAGAGCAGTGGCTGACAAGATTATTCGAAGATGTTATTTTTGTAGCATCCTGTGCTGGACGTGTGACAATCCTTCCGAAGGATCTTCACACTGTCATTCTGATACGGAATGATGATGTTAGTGATAGGTGGAAGAATAAAGCAATGAACATTGTAGCGCCACCTCCTTTGACAAGGTATGAAAAAGTCGCGGCATAGACAAAAATGAGAAAAAAACGAAAAGAGAAATAGATGTTAGAGCTGAAGTTAGTTGGGCATAATTTCAATGGGAGCAGCACCACTTTTAGGACAACAGCCGTAGAGCAGCGTTGGAGGAGTGGAGGAGCAGGCTAGAGTGGAAGGGTTGGCGGAGGCCATGTCCACAAGGGAGAGGAAGACCTACCTAGGTGTCATAGGTGGGATTTCATACCGGTCCGTAGTCCGACCTTCAACATCGATCCGCATTCACAGTCTATCGCCATCGCTGATCAGTATTTATTGCACCGTCAGCAGGACGCAGAAAAAGAGAGGAGAGTTATTGTTCTTTTTTTCCTCATGACCACGACTCTTGTCTGTTCGTCCATAGCCATTCATTTGGGCTAAAAACATATCGTCCTCATTCTTATTTTTTCTTCTTCCTCAAAAACAGAGAGAGAGAGAGAGAGAGAGAGAGAGAGAGAGAGAGAGAGAGAGAGAGAGAGAGACTTGCGATATGGAATCACACATAAGGTGATGTGGGGGGTTGTGTTGTTTTCATGCATGCTGACGACGACCAAACATGTGTCGAATTTCATGTAAGTCAGTGTATGATTGTAGATGTATCGGAGAGAATACGAATGAATGATGTGAAGGTGGTCATGCTCCCTGCCGGTACCAGACCGCAAAAATGTCAACAGCATCTTTACTCTCTCTCTCTCTCTCTCTCTCTCTCTCTCTCTCTCTCTCTCTCTCTCTCTCTCTCTCTCTCTCTCTCTCTC